TTAAGTACTTTTGTGTTCTTTCTAAGACTCTAACCTGCCAAAACCTTCTTTTTGCATCTAGTAGACAGAAAAATTTGGATCCATTGATTCGGGCTGATATTTCTTCTATAGTTTTTAGTGTCTGCGTAGTATGTTGGATCCATACAGATTCTAATTTTTCCTTTTTGTCTTTTTTTATTACTTTGTTTTTGTTTTATTACTCCTAACTTTACCATTTTTTCTAATTCGTTTTTGACGTCCTCTCTCAAAGCATGTGGTACTCTTTCCGGTTGTAATTCAAATGTTGGGTTTTCTATTAAATCTATGTCATATATGAAGTTTTTGATACATCCTAGGCCATTGAAAATTTCATCCTTTTGGCAGTCAAATTTAACTTCTTGAACTCTTACTATTAATCCAAGATCATGGCATGATTTTCTCCCAAGAATTGGTGGAACTTCTTCATCTACTACTTTAAATAAAATCGTTGTTTTTTACTTAGCATTTTATTGATGTTTCTCCAATAGCTGAGATTTTATTTTTACTGAAAGTTACAAGTCTTTTGGTATTTAATGGCTTTATTTATGAACCTAGTTTTTCTACTATGTATTTGGGCAGTACGTTGCACTGAGCACCCGTGTCTAGTTTGACTTAGAATTTCTTACTCACTTTAATTATCTCATGCCAATCTTCATCATTACCCTTTATAATTGATCTGATGTACACGATTTCTTTTTCTTCGCTTTCTGTGTCACTTTCTATCGTGTTGACTTTTTGGGACCGTTTTTTCTTGGACCAACATTGAGTACTGAAATGACCTTTTCTGTTACACAGCTCACATCTATTTTTGTAGGCTGGGCAAATTCGCCTCTGGTGCTTTGTAGCACATCTTCTGCAGTTAAAGGTTTCTGTACTATTTTCAGATTTTCTGTGCTTATTTTTTTATAAAATTTATCTGGCTTGATGATTCTGCACCCTGAACTTCTCTAAGCTGTTTTTTGCTTGTTCGCTTGCCCTGCAGGTGGCAACTGCTTTGTCTAGGTCAATATTATCTTCTGTTAGCAGTTTTTCTCGTACATTGTCAGATCTTATGCCAAAAATAATTTTATCTCGAAGCAGGCTGTCATATAAGTTACTAAAATCTGACTTTTTAACTTGTGTTCAGGCAAGTCAAAAATTCATCGAATGTTTCGTCTTCTTTTTGAATTAACTTTAAGAAGTTGTATCTTTCAAATGGAATATGGATTTTTGGGCTAAAGTAAGTCCCGAATTTTTGCTTAATGATTGTTAAATCCTTTTGTTGGGCTTCTGTTTGGTTGAAGTTGTTGTATATAGTTATGATTTCTGGGCCAATAGTTGCCATGAACGTGGCTGCTCGAACTTTAACCGGTTTTTTGGAGAGCTGGCTGGTTATTGCGTATCACTCAAATTGCTGTATCCAGTTCTTCCACGTAATCGACATATTATCGGTGCTCAACGCGATATTTTTGGGGGGCGAATGCCTGGAACGCTTGCAGAGTCCATATTTGGAATATTTAGGTTAGGTTCTGGTGGCGGTGCCATTTTACTGTTTTGATGCCGCGTTTAGCTTTATAATATTCTTTTCTATGTGTTTACTACAGTTTTTCCACCACTTCTGACACCATGTAACATTATGATGCGTTTAGTTTATATAATAAAACTAGATGTTTATTGAAGCGTGTATTATACTTGATTGTCAAGCGTACAACAACGAAGTAGGTAACCGTACACATCATGTTGTAGTTGCGTTGTCTAAATGTAGGCAACTGGCGATACGATGTGTACATAGCTTTCAATAAAAATGAATTTAGAGCAAGATTATTCGGACTAGCAAAAACTGATATCAAACTTTTAAAATTACCATTGAATGAAGGAATTGAATCTAAATATTATCTAAGCATTTGATAATCTACTGGATGGGTAGTAATTTCTAAATTATTTTCTACACTATTTAAATTATTGTCTAAAGAATCTGTTTGAAACAAATTAACTAAATTAACAATTTCGTGTTCACTCATAAAAAGATTAAACACTTAATAATAATTATAACTACTATAAGTAAAATTAAAAGAAAATAAAAGAATGAGTACTTACAATATAATGAAGATTCTTCAAAGTACACTCTTTAATGTTCGATCAACTGCAACTGTCTGTTCGCGACCCGATATCCTTTTGAATAGAAAACAGAAAAATCCGATATACTTTCGAATTTATAGTTCACAGTATCACAAAGTTCGTTATTTTAGTTAATCGTTGATACGAAAATTTGCCCGTGCGATACATTCTATATCCAAAATATCCTACTCACAGACTGCGCCAATTAAGTGAGAGCACTTCAAAAATTACTTTTTAAAAAAAAATTTTTTATCAGAAACCTTTATTGAGCGAAAGCTAACAATGATCTAATATTTTCTAGTTCTGACTTATATTTATAACTTTAGTACAGAGTGCAACGTTAACATTAATCTTGTATTAGTCGGCGGGATTGTTTCCATAACTAGCGCCTTTAAAACAACTGACAATACCCAAACTTGAGCTTTGTGCTACCCTTTTAGTTGATCTTAAAAATAAAACCAAAGAATCCCTGCAGGTATCTATTAACAAATTTTATTATTGGTGCGATTCAACTATTGTACTATCTTGGATCAACTCCTCTCTTAGCCTTTTAAAGACCTTTAATGCAAATAGAGTTGCTCAAATACAAAATTCAACTAAGCCGAACTGTTGGCATTACATTTCTACTTCCGAAAATCCTGCTGACCTATTGTCACGAGGAATTCCTGCTTCCAAATTAATTAATTCAAAATTGTAGTATCATGGACCCAAATGGCTTACGCAGCCAGACGCTGAATGGCCAATAGACCAAGAGTCTCCTTCCTTGATTCCATCACATGATCTTCCTGTTATGAAGCCTAATAAAACGTTTATTAGCATTAATATTGATTTTCTTAATATTATCAACAAATTTTCTTCTCTTATAAAATTGCAAAGATGCTTTGCTTGTATCATACGCTTCAAAAACAATATTAAAAAACCACGTGATTCGAGACAATTTGGTCCAATAACAGCCTTCGAAATGTAGGACACTAATATTAATTGTTCAAAGGCATTCACTCTCAAGATTATTTCACACTTTCAAAAGGGAAAGTTTATAAAGGGAAACTATTAAATCTTAATCCTTTTTTAAATACTCACAAAACAATAAGGGTAGGTGGAAGAATTCAAAATTCAGACTTCAATTTCAATAAAAAACACCCAGCTGTACTTCCAGCCAATTATCACTTTACCACACTTGTTGCTAAACATGAGCATCTTCGCTTACTTTTTGCTGGGCCACAATTACTATTGGGTTCTCTCCGTGAACGATTTAGGCCACTTTCTGGACGAAACTTGGCAAAAAGGTCGTCCTCAATTATATTGATTGTTTTCGTTTTCAGGCGAAGTCTGCAAAACATTTAATGGGTGATTTACCCAAGGAAAGAATTACACCATCGCATCCTTTCTTGACTTGTGGGGTAGATTACGCCGGTCCTTTTTTAATACGGGACAGAAAAACTAGAAATTTTCAAAATACCAAAGCATATAAATAGGTCATTCCATGTTAAATCGCAAATGGCCGCCGTCAGAATTGGCTCAATGCTTTTGCGACGTACAAAAATTCAAATTGTAGATTTTTTAACATAGAATCGAATGCCGTGTGGTGTTTTTGGTGATCACTGATTCTTTGACAGTAATACTGTCAAATCTGATCTCGCTGATTTGAAATTTTATTGACATTCGAGTGGCGCGGAGAATTTAATTAACGGATTATGATGAATCTTGGTACTCGGATGTTATCGGGGCCGCTGATCACGAATCCGAGGTCAGATTCGCGAAATTCGTAGATGGAGCCATATTTTGGCGCACGTGCAGAAGGAAAGTGATTTTTTTTGACGTTTTTTTGTTGTTCTTTCCCGTTTTTTTTTGTTATACATTAAAAAATTCCAAGTTATCTTTAGACTACTTCTGCATTATTTTGTCTTGTTAATGATTGGTTATATGTTCATGTTGAAAATATTTTTTCCTACGACCACTTAGGAAAGTCACACATATCACACTATATAGTCCTATGGAAAGTGCCCTATATCACACGCGTATGAACAGCAATAGCATCATGAGCAGTACAATCAGAAATTATGATAAAATTATCATGAAGTAATTCTTTTTCTTCTCTATAATAACATATTGCTGTATAAAGTGTAGCTTGATTATTGTTATAGTGAAAAGCCTGAGCAGCTTCTTGGACGATGAATGCATAATTTTCAGAGAAGTCACATTTTATCAGGAATTCCCCAGGTTTTAACTCATCTTTTTTCTGTTTAATGTAATTGCTCTGCTGCTTCTGAATAAAATTGTAGGATTTTAGGACCTTCAACTTTAAACAAAAATGGTCTACAAAATCTTCGATATTCATTGTTATAGTTTTCATGGTAGCTCTATCGGTTGAGAACCAGGCACTAAACTTGATATCATTTGCATATTTCTTTGTAAGTAAGGCAGCCAAATGGTTTCGCAATTTTGATGTTCCAGGGCAAGAATTGCACTCACCAAGGTAACATTTATTTGACTTTGTCCGGCATATGGTTAAATCAATGCAGTCTTGATAGGTTTTCAGTGGGATCTCAGTGTCTGCCGTTAATTTTTTAAAATGTACAGCATCCATCATCAACTTGACATTTTGATGGATAACGCAAACGTGTACGGTGTGAGTACCACTTTCTCCTGGCAATACACAATTTTCAAGTCTAAGTTGACAGAACTTTGAAAATCATATTATTTTTTTATCCTTTTTTTGTACAATTTGGTATGAAGATCTCGAAGCTTAAATAATATAAGTCTTTTTTGTTTCAGAATCTTTCGTCCATCCACAATAACTGCTTTTTTATTTTTTATCCCTCCCAACAACCTACTATTTTCATCATTTTCATAAAAATTTATGACTTCATTGATTATCGGAGCCTCTAGAGGTTTACCCAGATGAGGTATTGGTCTTGAGAAAGAACCGTTCTGTTTTTCAAATCTTTAGCTTTTCTGACTGCATAATGAGTTGTGCTAAATTCTTTTGCTATCTTATCAATTGACCAACTTGTCGGCAATGCAATAAGAATAGCTATTCTGTCAGGGTCATGCACATGAAGGGAAGAGAATTTATCTTTTAAACCCCCCATCATGTTATCGAAGTCATTTTCTTTAGAGTTTAAGGACAAATTTAAAGAGCTCCCACTTGGATCTAAGGTATTTGATTCTGCAATATTATTGTTGTTATTTAATGAAATTTCTGCAGAAACATTACTGAGATTTGATGTATTTGGAATTTCACTACTACTGATACTATTATCAATTCCGGAAACCTTGGTTCTAGTTAAATTACGTTCTTCCTCAAACATATCTCTACATTTGTAACAAATCATACTGCCGACTGGAAAATCCGGGAATGTAATTTTTTGAGGAGATGAAAATTCTCTTAAATTTTTGCCTACATGACCCTCTCTATTGTTAGAATCAGCACATCTATCTTTTCTTAAAATTCGACTGCGGTTCATGTTGGTGTTTAGATACGTACTCGTGACGAAATCTGTCATAAATTCAGGCCGAATAATGGATTTGATTCCTGGTGCAAAATCTTACTTATACTCGATATCCGCTACCTCACAAGAATTGCGATACGGGACTGTAGCCACCTATTGACGAGTAAATAAATGATAACTGCGGCAAAATATTATAGATACCGTCAGCAAGGTTGGCTCTGCTGAGTGGCGATCACGAATCCGTTATCAAAATGTTGCAAATCCAAGATGGCGACACGGTACTGCGCGTGCGCACTAAAAATTGATATACCTTAGGCTATTTAGATTGAAAATCCTTACTTGGGGGTTTTCGCGGTACTTTCTCTGGTTGAAATACTTCAAACTCACACATCTTCTGCTAAACTGGTAAAAATAAGGTTGTACACCATCCTATATACACCACCATATGTGCACCACCCTAGGTGCTACTTACTTCTTACGTGTGGGAGTCAAGACGACGACGGATGTTTTAAAAAATTAACTATTGATTGTCACTATTATTCTGACTTTGTAAAATAAAAAAAGTTATAAAAGAGAAGCTCTTGCATTATTATCCATCGATAACAAAACCAATCTAACCTAACCCAACGAAAATGGGTTAGTTTGGGATAGGTTGGCTTAGGTTCGGTCAGACTGGATGAGGTTAGGTCAGGTTTGATTGTGTTAGAATAAGTTGTGTCAGTTTGAAATACTTTCGGTACTTCAAACGGAGAAAGTACCGCCAAAACCCCCGAGTAGCGATTTTCAGACGGAATAGTAATAGTTCTATCGCTTATTCTAGTGCGCATGCGCCATGTGGGGGCGCCATCTATGAATTTTGCAAATCTAACCTCGGATTCGTAATCAGCGCCCCCCAAAATTCCCGAGTACCAAGTTTAAAGCTAATCTAGCCATTTCTCAATCAGTTTTCTGCTGCACATGGCATCATATAGTGGCGCCATCTACGAATTTTGAAAATCTGACCTCGGATTCGTGATCAGCGACTTCCAAAATCCCCGAATACCAAGTTTCAGGGTAACCAGCCAATTCTCAATCACTTTCCACCAAAATGTGGCGCCATCTTCGAATTTCGCAGTATTACTGTCAAAGAATCAATGATCACCAAAAACACCACACCGTATTCTATTCTACGTCAAAAGATCTACAATTTGAATTTTTGTACGTCCCAAAAGCATGGGGCCAATTCTGACGGCGGCCATTTGCGATTTGACATTGAATGACCCATATATATCCTTGTGTATCTGCTTTTCGACCAAAGCGATGCACCTAGAAGCTGTCGGTGATCTCACTTCCGAATCTTTCTTAGCGGCTTTGAGAAGGTTCTTTTGCAAGGCGGGGTAAACCCACTAAAATATTCTCAGACAATGGCTCTACTTTTGTGAGTGCAAATAATATACTAAAAGATTTCTTTAAAAATTGTGGAGATACTGTATCTCATAACTTATTCACTGACGGCATAACTTGGAGGTTTTTCCCGCAAAATCTCCGCACTCTGGCGGAATTTGGGAGGCTGGGGTAAAAACCGTTAAGCATCATTTGTACAGGGTACTGGGTAATACAATTTTATCGTATGAAGAATTTTCTACCGTAATATATCAAATAGAATCTTGTGTAAACTCCCGTCCGTTATATCCTTTATCCAATGACCCCAGTGACATTTTATCTTTAACTCCGGCACATTTTTTAATTAGCGAATTCTTAATCTCCATTCCTCACTACAACTGGATGGAAATTTCCATGAACCGGTTGTCCAAATTCTACAAAGCTTCTGGGATAAATGGGCAAAGGAGTATATGTATATCCCACTTGCAACGAGTTAAATGGAAAGAACATTCTAACGCACTATTGAAACCTGGTGTCTTGGTCATGTGCAAAGGAGACAATCTTCCTCCACTAAAATGGAGCATTAGCAGGATCATCAATACTCATCCCGGTAAAGACAATATCGTGAGGACTGTAACATTAAAAACTTTTACCGGCTAGTAAAAGCGACTAGTGGTGAAACTTTGTGTGTCACAATTGTGACCCGAGTCTACAATATTTTTCAATTTTTTAATTTTCAATTTATTTAGTAATACAGTAATTAGTCTACATTTTTTCATTATATAATAGTACAAACTGTTAGGCGAGGAGCACGAAAACAAACTAAAAACCTAGGTGAAGTGCTTGTGTTGTCTTTTTGTTTATTTCCGGATCCCTTCTCAATTATGTGTTAATTGACACAGAGTTCCATATTAGTAGCGGCTCGTGTTTTACGTGTATTTTCAAAATTGATATTTTTTAGTAGAGTTATGTATTCTTATTAAACACTGAAGAGTAAAAAGTAATCTTATGTTCATTATTTTTGTTTCATTGTACAAGTCATCGGTGGAAAACAATTTACTCTTTTTAAATATAATATAATTAAGGAGGTCCTTTCACCACACCTCTCGCCTCAAATGTTAAAAATAAAGTTATTAGATTATCACTAAAATTAATTTTTTTCTAATAGTTGAAGTCCTTATTTATCTAATACTGAACTTTTAACTATACCTTACCTTGCAAATTTTTGAGATTTTTTTTTTTTAATGTGAGTATTTGTACAGTGCCTCACGAGAAAGTAAGTCCTCAACAACAATTCTCGAATTATACTATTATTTATTGATTAGATGGAGTAGAAAAAAACTAAAAATAAGGTTTTTGAAATATTTAGATTTTGTTTTGTACAATAAAATATATATAGTAAACCGTGGAACTTATTGAGAAATTAATATTAAAAAATCACAAAAAATTTTCAAGTAACCTAGTTGAAAATGTTTTGTGATTTTTTAATAATAATTTCTCAATAAATTCCACGGTAACCTGTATATTTTATTGCAAAAAACAAAACCTAAATATTTCAAAAACCTTATTTTTAGTTTTTTTCTACTCCATCTAATCCACAAATAATAGTAAAATTAACTATAATTCGAAAATTGTTGTTGAAGTCTTACTTTCTCATAAGACACTGTACAAACACACACATTTTTAAAAAAAATTTTCTCAAAAATTTGCACGGTAAGGTATAGTTAAAAGTTCACTATTAGATAAATAAGGATATCTACTATTAGAAAAAAATTAATTTTAGTCATAGTCTAATATTTTTTATTTAACATTGGTGGCGAAAGGACCTCCTTAATAGTGTATTTTGAATTGTTTGTAATGTCTGTAGGGTGGTATTGAAGGTGCCTCCCCATACAGTAATACAATATCTTAGAATCGATTCGGCTAGTGAATTATAAAGAATTATCAAATTTTTTCTAGATAAAATGTCACTTAGAATATAAAATTGATGTATTAGAGCTCTTAAACGCTTACTAATATGTATTATATGATCTGAACAACGAAGATGTTATAATCACCCCTAGATACTTCATAGTAGAAACTGTTTCAATATTTGTACAACTACAGTTATTATTTATGCAATCTAGTTTATGTAGTTTTATAGTAATCTCTTGTGTCTGATTTGTGACTAAAGCAGTAAAAGTAACATATTTTGTTTTATCTACGTTAAGCGTTAGTTTATTGTAATTTAACCATAGTCGCAACTTGTGCAAGTCAGACTCAGTAGAAGTTTTTATTTCATTCCAATCAGTACCAGTTACTAGTAAGACTGTATCATCGGCATAACAAATTAAATGTCCAATAAAGTTATTTAATTGAGTGATATTATGTATAATAAGAAAAGTATTGGACCTAGGACTGTTTCTTGAGGAACACCGATTTTTACTTCTGTGGTAGAACTTATTTCACTTCCAATCTTCACTCTTTGTGTTCTATTTGTTAAATAATTGGATAGTAAGTTAATAACACCATAATTCATCATAGTGTTTTCGTAAATTTCTAATGTTTAAATGTACAATACATAAACCTTGCCTGTCCGTGGTTGTTACATGCTCAATATACTCTTTAAAGTCATTATATCCTGCTGTATCTATCTCCACATTGCTGTCTAAATCATTCAGAAATTTGCTCCGTACACTGAGCTCCCTAAATTCTTGTAAACAAATTACAATATAAAAAGAAAGAAAAAAAAATAAATTAGAACAATTTATTAGAAGAGTAATTTAAAGAAAACTTTAATGAAAATAATTACCAAAACATTATGTTTATTGTGAAATTAAGGAAAATTAAATGAAAATTTGAAAAATATAAAAACAAGTATTACCTCTATATATGTAAACATATTCTTTATCTCGCATAAAAATAATTTTATACATTTCTTCATTTTTTATTAACGTAATTTTATTGTCTATATTTGCATAGATTTTTCCGTTTTCTGGCCACACGTTCTTCATACCCAATTTTTCGCTTAATTTGGACAGCATTTCCACTCTTTTACCGGTTAAATCCTCCTTGATTACCATCCCGGTTCCTTTTAGAAACCTCTTCTTTGCGTAAATTGTTTGGCCTCTAGTTTGAGAAAGTTTGAGAAAAATGCTTCTATTTTTGTTTTTTTCTTTATTTCCAATTCTATAGCACAATTGGATGTCTTTATCTGTGATCTTTAACGACATTTTAGTGTTTAGTGTGGTTTTTATTTCGTTTCTGCTATCTTCCATATGCTTCTCCTTTAAATTAAATATTCGTAGATTGCATTGTCGTGTTGCTTGATCGAGTTGGTCTATTTTATTTTGTAGACCATTTATTTTATCTTCTGTTTCTTTATTATTATTTTCAGATTTTTTTTTCATTGTATTATAACTTTTCTCGAGCTCCGCCACTGTGTTTTCAATCGTAGAATATCTTTCATTAAACGTATTTATTATAGCAGCCGTGACTTTACTCACTATATTATTGATAAGAGAATCGTTTTTTATAGAGGTACTTACAGCTTGATTCACGTGTGATTTTATTTCTTCACAAATTTCTCGTGTTAACACCATTGTTTTCTCGAGATTTCACTTTTAGTGATGTGATAACGTATTTCTTAATTTTACTAATGAGCACTGATTTATAAAATTAACTAACGTAATTATTCGATTATTTTAAAAATTTCCGGACCTCAAGTGATACACAACCTACTCGCTACTTGCCATAGGCGTATTCTTATATTCCTCTTAACTTTTTTATTTTTGTTTTTCTTCTCCATTGTCTGAGGGGTGGAAGTATTTTCGAAAATTTGGGTTTGAAGCGGCTCTTCAGGCATCAGATGTTCCGATCGCCAGTGATTACCTCCACATGGGCATGCGCTAGGGGGAACACCCCTGTTGAGATCTCCCCTTTGCTCCTGCCATGGGTTCCTTGTAGTTGGATGAAAATTGTTATTTCCAGAACATCTATTGTCAGGTGTCTGAAAAATTCTTTGTTACGGCTCTATTGCCGGGGTTATAATTGTTATTATTATTTGAGGTACTTTGAGCTTTATTACTCGAGCTACAATTGTTATTATTTTGGTTGAAATTGTTGTTGTGAGTAGAATTTTGAGCTATATTGTTCGTATGATCGTTCGAATAATTTATGTTTCTATTGAATTCGCCTCGTTGAAGAGATGTGGACGGCCTATTATTATATGTCGTATTTTGGTAATTTTTTGTCTCGTGTTTAGTGTCCAATATCATCGCGTGATAAAACATTTCGCCTGTTTATTTACCATGTATGCTTTGTATTGTATTGGTATTAAATCAAAGATACTTTCCACAATCATTCTTTCGGAGTAGCCCGACAAAATTTTCTTAGAATCGTATGATTAATTTTGTTTATGGGTGTGCTAATTTTTGTCTGAAAGTATCTTCTGGTTTTACTTTACCAAAATTACTTCTAAGCCATTCGGCTAGTCACTCTCACTCTAGCCTTGCAATATTGTACAGTGTATCGGAATTCTGCGCTGATTTGCGCTGTAGCATGGCCCATTGATTTTTTCCACACATTCTTTGGTTAGCCATTTTTCAGCCTGGATGATAAAAGCATCCACGTCCTCGGTCTCTAGGCCTAAAAATATCGGGGGTGAAATTTTACCCCTATTGTTTTGTCCAGTCTGAAATATTTTCACTTCTATTACCCTCTGGTCCTCACCTGAGCCTTGGGGTGCCTGAATAGTCTGTTTTGTCATCAGCTTGTAGCTGTCGTGGTTTTTTGTGTCACTTCTGGTTTCCATTACCGGAATTTGCGTCGGTTTTTCCTCCAGTCTCCTCTTTATTTGTAATAATTCAATTTTCTTTAAGAATTCTGCTTTGGATAAGTTGAAACAGTTTCTAACCGATTCATCCTGGTTCGAGAGTTCTCCACTCCTTAGAACCATTCTCGCTTCCGGAATCGTCTCAGTATGGCGAATAATATTCCGTCGCTCGAATTCTTCAAATTCGCGTTGTTTCTCCATTCTTCTTTTAGCGGATTTCAGCCGAAACGTTTGTTTTTCTTTCTTCTGCGGATGCTCGTGATTCCACACTTTTATTTAGTGCGGATTTCACTTGAGCTTCCTCATCCACCAAGTTCATCATTTGTTGCAAAAGTTTCTGAGATACTCTTTAGTCGCTGTGCGAATAAATTTTTGACGTGTGTCGTCCATTTCTTGATCTATACTGCCGTGTTAATTGAAAAGGGGCTTATCTGCAGAAACTCACTTTTGAGAAAAATGTGTTTAAAGTTTTTTTGCTGTGCCATCCTTGTTTAATCGAGTAGCAGTATCATATTAAATGAAACGATTCTCAATTACGATTCAATTTTAGTAAACTAATTGGAAGTTAGACGTCGTATTATAAATTTTTACTTCTGATAGTTAGGCCCTTTCGTTCTAACAGTTCTCTAGAGATCAACTAACTCAAAAGGGCTCAACAGTATGAAAGTACGCTATTTTAAGTCAAAAAAGATTAATTAAGTATGACAGATTAAGATATAGGATAAGAAAATTTGGGGAATATTTATGCAAATGCGGTTTGACAAAATAATACTGCTTTTATATAAATATTATTTTTTGTGAACTCCTTTTTAACTAATACAAAAATATTCATAAAAATACAATAAGACTACAAAAAAACACGTTTTGTTCATCGGTAAGTAGTTCCTCATTGACAATCTCTGGCAGAGTATCCCAAAATAATAATCTGAGTGGAGGTATAATAGGAGATAATTTGTTTAATAAAGTTCGTTTTCTCTCTGAACTAATTTCCTTATGCTGCAATTGGTTTTTTGGTTTACGAATGCCTAAAATATAATAGACATATTACTAAATAAATTAAACTCGTTTATAAATAATACACCCCAAATCGAAGACCATTTACAGGCAAAATGAAAATATCAAATGAATGGTACTGACTAATGGACTTTACCATCTTTGTGATCATGAGCATTTAAAATATTTATTTCTGGGCCAGATTCCTCTTCAAAAGACGTTTCGTAGGTGAGTGTATTATGACCTCTGCTAAAAGTGACTTGTACCATTTCGCTTAGATACGGCCTGGGAATAATTTTGTTTAATTTATATTGCGACGTACCGTCTCTCCATACAAACATCTTTTTTAATGTCATTTGAATCACATTAGAGGTGCGCCTGGCTTTTTGAACAGCATCTACAAAATCGGCAAAATCATACACACGTCCTTTCCGTTTCAGGGATGCTTCGATGGTGATAAAATGCATCAGCGCGGCCATGAACTTGTGTCCTGGTTCGAAATATTTTTACTCTAAAGTCTTTAGAGCAGTTTCATTGGAATTGATGAGATAAATAAAAAAACAATATAAGGTCCAGTTCAAAACTCTTGGACGCTTTCTGTTAATTTCTCTACTTTTTTGTAGAGGTCTCTTGATTCCTGATGTCCCGGGTACAACTGTTTGTTGGACATTGTCTTCTAGCACAATGTCTCGTAGAGGCCTCTTCATAGTTGGCGTCACGGGTTCAATTGGTTGTTGGGCATTGTCTTCTAATACAATTTCTATGTTTTCAGTATCGAAATCTTCCATTATATTTTCATTAAAAGAGAGGGAAGTTGATGGGGTGTTTTGAATAATCTCGCCATGCAATTCTGGCACAAGAGAGCTGCCTTCTACAACTACTTTTCCCCAAGCATTAATGGCTCGTTCCTCAAGACTACTCAATGGATTTTTCACCTCAGGTCCTCCTTCTGTTCTATTTTTATTTACCAGATATTTTCGGTATTTGAACCTAGTACTATGTTTCCAATCAGAGAATCTCTGAAAAAATAAAAACGAAATAAAAATATTAGAACAAAATATATAAAAATTACTTGAATCCATTTATCTGTATTTAATTGTGGGCCCTTCGATTTAGCGTTTAATTTGGTGGTCAATTCTTCCCACTTTTGTTTAATATAATTTTCCGGTACAGATGGATTAATAGTTCCAGTTCTAAATATTTCGTCATTTTCTAAAAACTTGACATATTCTTCATACTGCTCCACTGCAGTATTTGCTCCCCGTAGTTTTTTCGCTTTGGAAATGGCTCTGTAATTAAGATATGTTTAATTTAATGAAAATACTGTGATGTAAAAGTTATTATTAAACAAATGATTTATAGTACATACCCAGACATGTTTATTTAAAAATAAACATAAACTCTTTACAATAGGCATATAAATCTATTGACACAATGACATAACACCACATCACATAACCACAAAAAGTGACAAATTTCAAATAATTCAAATAAAAAAGACCACAATCATAATTTCTTAAATAATTTAAAATCCCAATTTAAATTTCCATTTAGTGCTTAAATCTTTAATATTTACATGTCGGACCACAATAGCGCCATTAATTGCTCAATTTGTACCAAGTTTTATAGTGAACTATTCATAATAAAAAATGATGGTTGATGTGTCAGTATTAGCCGATATCGGCCATGCATATATCGATAGTGATGGGCAATCCGGATCATTCTGAAGATCTGGGTCAACGAATCTGGATCAGTTGAAAGGTCCGGTTCAGTAAGCCGGATCTCGGTTCATTTGAATCTTTATATATGTGTCGATGCTACCTCGACGATTCTTAGTTCTGTGTGTTGCGTATACAATCCCTATCTGTTGACATGACTTATAACAACGTAATACATGTTTCAAGCTGAAATTTGACTGACTAGAAACTTGTATTAAATATTTGAAATGTTCTTATTTTTATTTTTTGACCGGGATAGGATCGACGACTTTCGACTCAATACAGCACATAGTTCCCAGCTCAGTTCGTTAGATTTTAGGAAGGAATATATCGCGTACAATTCTGAACGATTTCGGGGAATCCCAAGCAATTTATTTGTTGTTTATTTTGGTACAGTCAACTGAGAAAGCGTTTAACGTTTAGTTTCTGACAGTAGGTATACATATTTTATTTAATGCGTTGTATTGTATGTTGCATGCATGTGGTGTAATATTTTATAAAATGGCATTTAGAAAAAAAAGTGAAATATGGAACCATTTTGATTTTCAAGAAGAGGATAATAAAGCAAAATGCAGTTATTGTTCTTCTTTAATCAATATTTCGAAAGGGTCCACTGGAAATCTTACGAGACATATGCGTACAAAGCATGTTAGTAAGTGATTTATTATATAAACATTTTAAATAGTTTCAATAATTGAATGTCAATTCTAGGTATTCCTATTTATAGGGATAAAAATGTTTTAGAGTCAGTACCACTTGATAATAATAATGATAATAATTCCAAATCAGAAGAGCCTATGGAAAATAAAAATGAGATGTCTAATGCTAATATTCCGTCTGTTTTTAAAATACCAAAGAGACAAGAATATATGGACAAATTCGTAATGAATGTTAAACCTGTATCTATTAATAGATCTAAGCAATTTGATGAGCAGTTGTTACGTATGATAGTAAAGGAATACCATCCCTTTTCAATTGTTGAAGACAATGAGTTTAAAAAATTTATTAACATGTTGTGTCCCGGATATTCTTTACCTAGTCGCAAAACTGTAACAGATACTTTAATGCCTAAAATGTATAATAAAATTAGAGATACTCTTAAACACAGAATTAGCCATGCTTATGCAGTATGTATAACTACAGATAGTTGGACATCTCTAAAAAATGAAAACTTTACAGCAATAACTGCACATTGGCTAGTTGATAACGAAAAAGACGGACTAACGGCATGCTTTGGTTTATTAGATTGTATTGTTTATAGAGAGAGGCATACCGCTGAGAACTTGTCTGAACTTCTGCAAACGAAAATTAATGAATGGGGCATCCAAAATAAAATTGTTGCTGCCGTTAGTGACAATGCTGCTAATATCGTCGCGGGAATAAGACATGCCAACTGGCGCCATATAGGTTGTTTTGCGCACACAGTAAACCTTATTGTTCAAAAGGGCCTTAAAAGTAATGAACACACAGTTAATAAAATCAGAAAAGTTGTAGAATTTTTTAAAAGAAGTTCTCATGGCTTAGCAAAGGTAAATCAAATACAAGAACAAATGGGTTTGCCAATTTTGAAATTAAAAATTGACGTGAGTACTAGATGGAATTCTACATTTGACATGCTGAATAGATTTTGTCAGAGAAAAGATGCTGTTATTTCAACCTTAGCTATACTTCAACACGAAGTAACTTTAAATGCCACAGATTGGGAAGTAGCAAACCATGCTATTGTTATACTTCAAGTTTTTAATGATGTAACCAGTGAAATAAGCGCCGAGAAAAACATAGCTGTCTCAAAAATATTTCTTTTGCATAATGCTATGGACAATCATGTACGCCAATGTAAGGCCACAATTCTTTTGGAAGAACTACAACCAATGATGGACGTTTTGCTCAACGAATTAGCTTCGCGATATAAAAGTTACGAAAATAATGAACTTATACAACAAGCTACTCTTCTGGATCCACGCTTTAAAAGATATGGATTCGTGGACACAAATAAAGCCAACCTTGCCATCGAAATAATGAAAAACAAAATAAAACACCAAAAAGGTGAACAATTAGGTGCATTAGAAAACGAAAAACAAGAAATTTTAATAATTCAGACAAAATCTAGTAGCAGCAGCAGCAGTAAATCCTTACTTTGGAAAAACTTTGATGAAAAAGTGCAAAAAATAAAAACTCCCAATAATCCGACTGCAGCTGCTATTGTTGAAGTTGAAAAATACTTGAATGAGCCTCTTATTGACAGGCACGAAGATCCACTATTGTGGTGGTTTCAAAGAAAAAACATTTATCCGACTCTATATGAACTGGTAAAGAAAAGACTATGTATTATGCCTACATCAGTGCCATGCGAAAGGATTTTTAGCAAAACTGGTCAGATAGTGACAGAAAAAAGAAATCGACTGCGAAGTTCTAAAACAAGTGAAATTATATTTTTACATGTAAATCTTTAACTTTTTATTATTTTAAATTTATTTCACTTAAAAACATCTATGAAGCCGCTTCACACATAAATATCATTGACCATGTCCAATCCACCCAGGCAGCCCCATTAAAATAAGCCAGCTCACCGGCAGCCTTTACTCATTGCGTTCGGTCTGCCAAGCTCCTTTGACTCCTTTAACATTTTTAACTCCAAACGATCCAAACGTTTGGTTCAGTCCGATTAGTGACAGTTTAACACGCTTAAATCTCATTTAAAAGTACCCTAAAATACTCCGCTCCTGACCCGTTCCAGCCCTTGGCCATACCGAACGCTACTACTGTGACGCGACACACGGGTCACATAAGATCACTTGACGGGTCATTCAGATTTAAAACAGCGGACAACGTTATGCTGGCCGCACTTCGAGGTCAGCTCCACACTCAACAGAACACTTACTACCCAGATAGCATTTTCACATACCAGGTATATCTTATGAACATACTTTCTATGAATTTGTATATACCTGGAATGTACCTAATTATCATTGTGGACATTCAAAGGACATACATGGTATGTACCTTATTCCCCTTTTTGTACATTCCATGGATGTGTATATGTACATGTGAATGTACATACATGGTATGTACATCTAACTACATTCATTTGATATATATTCCATGTATGTACCTGTTATATCCAGTATATACTATGCATGTATTAAAAACATCCTTCTAGGTATATTCCTATAGGTAAGAGCTATGTACATACAATTGTTAATATGAATAGGTACCTAAATAATTTATATTTAACTTTTTTCTATCATTGGAACATAAGAATGAATTACTCTGTAGATAAGTGAACGTATGAAATTCAAATATATCTACATAGTACCTATATTATGTACACACTTCTCAAAAATATTATGTCAGGTTTACCTATATAGCACTTACTAAAGGAATCTACCCAGAACACACACATATACATATATATTATGTATACTTCATAATGTACTTTTTACACCAATAGATTTTTCAAAATTTACAAAACTGATAATGATCTAAATTATAAGTCAGGTATCAGGATAAAAAGGACAATTTAAAAATATATATTGTGTGTCATTTAAAGAAACATATACTTTTTATTAAAACTTATTTTTAAAAACAGCCAAAACAATTTTTATTTTTTTTCCTAATTTCTTAATTCTCAACTGCAGTCTCAACCTAAAAATAAAAAATTGAATTAAATAAGTTTACACACATTAAAAATATTGAATATGAATTAAAATAGGTGAATATTAGTTAATAAGTATATTCAGTCAGCTCATTTAAACCTAAAATGACTGATTACTTAGGACAAATAAAGTTATCAAAATTAACTGGGTTAGTTCTTGTAATTAGGGAATACTGATATTAGTTATTCAATTTAAAAATATAAACAATCTTACGTTTTGTTCATCAAGCTGTCTTTTCTCGGAGTTTTCATGGCGGTCTTTACTTCTCACCAACCATAATTTTATGGTATTGATAATTTCAGTTTCTGTGGATTGGGATTTAAACCTTTTAACGCTCTCTAAAAAAATAAAGATATAATTTTTTTCTAGTAAATATGTAAAAATCACAGTATTTTACTAAATAATATTTATATTAACCTAAAATTACTGTTGACAACTTCAGATGTTTAAATGTTTTTTTATTTTTTTTTCCTTCCCATGAAAACTTCATTCCCAATTTATTTGAGATGAGGCGATACATAATTTTTCTTGTTGTTTGGACTGTTGAACCACCTCCAATTCTTGAGAGCTCATTGATCTAAAACAAAATTATTCTTCAGATTTTTATACTGTTTGTTGATAAAATATAATAAAACCCATGCAGGAAAAAAGAGATGTTTATTTTATAAAAGTATTCCCAACAAATAATCAAAAACTAAACATGCCACAAGAAACATATACAGAAACTAATTACTAGTAACTTCTCGTTTGGTTCTTCAAATAGCCATTCCTCAGTTTTCTTCAAATCCTCCTCATCTTTTAGAGGTAATATAAGCAGTATCTCTGCTAATGGACCTCTATCATTTGTTTGATATGATGCAAGCTTCAGTTCTGCCAAGCATCATAGTGTCAACTTTGTCAAACCAAGTGTTCAGTTTTAAGTTCAGGAGGCTTAGCTCGTTTAAAACTATTCTTTTAAAATCTAAAATGTTTATATTAGATCAAAAAAAATTATAATATTTCTCTTACCATCATCACTTAAGGTTTCTACAGAAACAGACGCTCCAGCTCCTTGAGGTGGTTTTGTAATAATTGGCATTATTATTAATTGAAAAAATCTAAAGAATTTACCAAAAATTCTAAACAAGTATTTAATGTTTAAATTAAATAATTAAAAAGACACTTATGACAATGAAACAAACCTTCATTTTATTAATTTACATTGAACGTGACATTGTAAAATACAATCAACAGTCACATAAATTTTGGTTTATATAGAAAGGATCACTTGGGGGAAACGCTCAGTCGGGTTCGGACTAAGGTCCAGAACTTTCGCCCCTCGGGCGAAACCCTGGTTTTTTATTGTAAAGTAATGTGTAAAGTTTTTTGTGTACGATGTGAATTATGGGTAAATATTTTAACTTAATTTTGTTTAATAATAATTGATTAATTGATTTACATATAAATGCCAATTTTACATTTTCGTCCCGAATTATATTTTATGCTTATCTTTATTACTATTAGTTATAGTGCATTATTCTCTAAATGGAATTTTATTCATTTTTTCTGAAGACTATTTGTCAAGTTTTTTATTTATTGTTAATATACATTTGTTAATGTTTTAATACTTATTATTAATCTCTCCTCCTTTCCCAAACCAGCAAAATACTCCGAGCATTTGAGAAGCCTCGGCGTTTCTATTCCCTTAGGACTAAAAGAGTCTAAAACTAGTTGCCAAGAACCGCTCGACATATGCTATTAAGGGATGTTTTTTTGTATTTTATTATTTTTTCTTTATTATTTTTTTTGCCACTGGCGAATGGATGTTCCTTAAGGACTCCAGGACCCTTTGGCTGGTGATGTCGCTGCCCTAATCCCTTAATAGCATATTAACAACAGTAGCTAAAGACCTAACAGTAGTTGCAAATGGTCTTTAGGCATAACTGGTTGTTACAGTTTAACTCCCAATCCTTGAGCAGGGGTAACTGGTTGGTGGGGTACAACTGACCGCTCGTATGACCGTGTTTCGGTTGCAGATAACACTAAAATAAATACTCAATTCAGTATATTTTGAAAATAAATAAACATTAATGTTTACCTATAGATTTGTCAGACCCATGTTTTTTTCTTTCAATATTGGCTGCCGCTAGACCTACAAAATAAGTTGATTATAAATAAACTTACAATTTATATTTTATTTTCAAATTCATATGAAATATATTTTTATAGAGACCTAAATAGTATTTACTTTTTTCTAAGATAGGATAGGAGTTCCTATCCTCATCAGATGTTTCTTGTTCTTCATCAGAAGAGTCATAGGAAAATCTTGTGGTTTTTTTCATTGTTCTGCATCCCCTGCCTCTAAGATCAGATGCTGAGGATAAATCGCTAGTCTCTTGTGCCTTGGCAGCCTTTTTTTTTGCAATATTATAATCATCTGAAAAAATGGGACTAAATTATAAATAAAATGTAAATTAAAAAAAACTTACCATATTCTCCCAGTAAAACGCAAGGGAAGACATTCCAATCTGCTTTTGGCAAATATCCATTTTTAATGTAATGCGAAATTTTTGATTTTTGAAAATTCTTAGGTGGCCAGGAGCATTCATTAGAATTTTTACACCATTCTATCGGTACTGCCTCCACGGCCTCCTCATCAATGAATCTTACAACAACCCACTTCATCTTGGCCAGTTATAAAAAAGAAATTCGTAATTATAAATACTTTATTGTGAATTTTATAGTAAAACAAGTATTGCAAATTAAAAATTAAAAAAAACCGACTTCAAAATCGTGTAGATGCCATCACCACATCTTAACCAAATTTATGTGGGACCATCCCTGATGTACCCCCTTACTAACAAAAAAAGAATTATAGAAATCGGACAAGGTGGTAAAACATTATCGCTAAACATACATAAAAAATGAAGAGTTTGAGGATTTTCTCATGGACCCAACAAATTTTTAAAAAATGAATGAAATAGATATTTATTTAAATAGGAAAACCTTAATATACATAAAAAAATAGAAATACACATAAATGATATTAATACTATATACAGGGTGATTGATTAGTGTGATAGAGTCATTAATATCTTCGTTATTATAAGAAATACAAAGAAAAGTTTTAAATAAAAGTTATAGGATTTACATCGCTGCTCCTTTGGAAAATAATTCTAAATATATAGGGTGCTTCATATTACCGCGACACAGCCTTAGGATTTTTTTTAGATGGGATATCCCGTATTTTCTACATTTTTGGATTATACTCGATAAGCTGATTCAAATGAACTATCACACTCTGGGTCTAAAGTGAGTTCATTGGGAGCTATAAATAAACAATTGAAAATCGCATTTTTTTAACTTTAAACCACTTCCACACCAAAAGGGCTAAAGTTAGCGCAAAATGGCTTTCATGTTCCTATGTTAACTTTTCAAGTATTGTCTGATGGTTTTAAAAAAAATAGGGTGTTAAAAAAACCGCATTTTTTAGCACCCTGTAGGTATGATATTCTTTTCAAACCATCATACTTGAAAAGTTAAGATAGGAACATGAAAGCCGTTTTGCGCTAACTTTAACAGTTTTGGTGTGAAAGTGGTTTAAAGTTGAAAAATGCGATTTTCAATTGTTTATACCTCTCAATCGACTCACTTTAGACCCAGAGTGTGATAGTTCATTTGAATCAGCTTATCCAGTATAATCCAAAAATGTAAAAATATACGGGATGTTCCATCTAAAACAAAATCCTAAGGCTATCTCGCGGTAATATGAAGCACCCTATACATTTAGAATTATTTTCCAAAGGTACAGCAATGTA